GAATTTTGAGGAAAGAAATTCAATATTAAAGTTAATAAAAGAATATTCCGATATCTTCCATGTCGAAGGAAACCAATTAACTTTTACTAATAAAATTAAACATACAATAAAAACAACAAACGATATACCAGTATATTCAAAATCCTATAGATACCCGGAAATTTATAGGAAGGAAGTGCAAAATCAAATCCAGAATCTGCTGGATCAAGATATTATTAGACCTTCGGATTCCCCTTGGTCTTCTCCTATATGGGTGGTCCCAAAAAAAATGGACGCCTCCAAAAAACCCAAGTTTAGAGTCGTAATAGATTATCGACGTCTTAATGCTATCACACTTGGTGATAGATACCCTTTACCTAACATTAGTGACCTACTGGATAAACTTGGACGGTGTCAATACTTTACGACACTCGACCTCGCTTCAGGGTTCCATCAAATCGAGATGGATGAAAGCGACATTCAAAAAACTGCATTTAATACAGAAAATGGTCACTACGAATTTTTGCGAATGCCTTTCGGACTCCGTAACGCCCCAGCAACATTCCAACGGGTTATGGATAATATCCTGAGAGGTATACAAAATGAAAAATGTTTGGTTTATCTAGACGATATAATTATATTTAGTACTAGTCTTCAGGAGCATCTTGTTAATTTAAAAGAAGTGTTTCAAAGATTAAGAGAATCAAATTTCAAAATTCAAATAGATAAATCTGAGTTTTTAAAGAAAGAAGTAGCATATTTAGGTCACATCGTAACGCCAGAAGGGGTTAAGCCGAACCCAGACAAAATTAAAGCTATTAAAAATTTTCCAATACCCAAAAATACTAAGCAATTAAAAGGATTTTTAGGACTTTTAGGTTATTACAGGAAATTTATCAAAGATTTTTCTAAACTTACTAAACCACTAACTACTCGTCTAAAGAAAGATGCTGAAATCAATGTAAGCGATTCAGATTATATCCAATGTTTTGAAACTTGTAAACAACTTCTCATAAATGAACCCATATTACAGTATCCCGACTTCTCCCGTCCTTTCAATCTCACTACAGATGCTAGTAATTTTGCGTTAGGAGCCGTACTTAGTCAAGGAAAGATTGGATCCGACTTGCCAATTGCTTATGCAAGCAGAACTTTGAACAACTCTGAAATCAATTACTCAACAATCGAGAAAGAATTACTGGCAATAGTATGGGCTGTCAAATATTTTCGCCCGTATTTATTTGGACGACGCTTTACTATTATTACCGATCATAAACCACTACAGTGGTTATTTTCATTGAAAGATCCCAACTCCAAACTAGTAAGATGGCGGTTGAAGCTAGAAGAATATGATTATGAAATAATTTATAAAAAAGGATCTTTAAATACAAATTGTGATACATTATCCAGAATAGAACTAAACGTCAATGAAACAAAAAATTTGGAAAACACAAAAAATATTTTTGAATATATGGAAACACTTAATGAACAAGCTCAACAAGATCTTAATAACGAACCAGATACAGAATCGCTGATTGTTGAAATTGATGAAGATAATAGACAAGAAGAAAACCCTGATGACGGTGAGACGATACACACCAATGTAGAAAATCCTACCCCCGGAATTCCTATTTCCGAAAACCCTGTAAACACGGGAATTAACCAAATTTTTATCTCTGAAGTGAATTTTAATCCTGCTAGTCCCACCATAATCAAATTATTTGATAAAAGACAAAGAATTCTTGTCCAGTTCTCAAAAAACAATTTTGAGCGTGATGTTATTGATTTTATTAAAGAATATACCATACCCAAAATAAAATATCACCTTTATTTTGAAGACCCACTATACGAGAAATTTAGCGTTGTTGTCCAAAAATATTTTAAAAATTCTCAAATATCATTTATTAATTGCACTAAGAAACTTATCGATGTTCCTATAAACGAAATTAAAGAAATAATTAGAAATTATCATGAAGGCAAGGAAAATCATAGAGGTTTAGATGAAACGGATAACCGAATTAAATCATTATATTATTGGCCCAATCAACGAGCTTCTATACAAACTTATATTAATGAATGCGAAATATGCCAATTAACAAAATATGATAGGAATCCAATAAAGCCAATATTTAGCATTACTCCTACAGCAATTAAGCCATTTCAGATTTTACATTTAGATTCCATAACACTTGAAAATACCAAATTTCTAACGATAGTCGATTCCTTTTCTAAATATGCCCAACTTTATAAACTTAATTCTGCTCAAGGTATCGAAGTAGCAAACGCTTTGATTAGATTCTTTACTCACCATAGTATCCCAGAACAAATCATTTCAGACAATGGTACAGAACTAAAAAATTCAGTCATTAAAGATTTATTAGCATTACATAAGGTAAAAATCCACTTTATCTCCTCCCAGCATCCAGAATCAAATGGTATAGCTGAAAGATTTCATTCAACTATTATTGAACATATCAGGTTACTAAACAATCAAAATGAGTATAAATCCGACCCAATAGAACAAAAAGTAAACTACGCATTATTAGCTTACAACAGTACTATCCACACCGTAACTAAAATGAAACCCCATGAACTAGTTACGGGACATTTAGACACCAACTCCCCATTTAACATTGACCTAGAGCAACAATTAATTAATAATTATATTTCTAATCATAAGGATAAAATGAAATTACTATATTCTAATATTAACGAAAAACTTCAAGAAAATAAAACAAAAGTTATAAATAAAGCAAATGAAACACGCGAGGAATTACCAACAGAAATTCCTACCGAAGTATTTGTGCGAAACAGACAAATAAAAGGAAAAACTAAAAACAAATATCAAAAAGAAAATATTAAATCCATTAATAAATTTAAGAAAACAGCAAAACTTATTAAGCGACATAAAAATACTACCGAAAACATTCACCTTTCAAATGTAAAACGACCTAAAAGGAAAACTTATATTTTTCCAGGTTCGTCACGATCGGACATACCACAGCCGAAATAAAGGATATCACCCACAACCTAGGCATTCTACCTATAAAATTAGGAACCGCAAAACTCCAAAAATCTAGTCATACATTTGTACATTTTTATAATTTAAAACCACTTGTAACTGAATATGACAACCTGAACAAGCAATTTGAGTATCTTAAAAATAACATTTCTAACAGCGAATTCTTTAAATCAGAGACGTACAACTATGTTAATATTATTCAATATATCGAAAATAGCATACAAGAAAAATTTAGCGGTCTAAATATTCATATTAATTTAACAAGAAGGAAAAGAGGCTTGATTAATGGCCTTGGTTCAATAGTAAAAGCAATCACAGGAAATTTAGACGCCGAAGATGGCGAGAAAATAAATTTAATACTAGAACATTTGAAAACTAATCAACAAAAATTAGAACATCAGATACTTAATCAATATTCCCTCAGTCAACAAATCATAGATAACTTCAATAAAACCATTCAAGATATTCAAACAAATGAAATAATTCTTAAAACAAAGATTTTTGAGATAAAAGATATTGTCGATTTTCAAACCAAAATTGAGAACGTTATTTATCTAAAAGACATGTTCAATGAACTCATTATCACATATAATTCTATACTTGATGTAATGGAGACTGTAGAAAATTCTATTACTTTTTGTAAGCTCAAAACCTTACACCCTAGTATTATTAAATCTAGTGACCTATTTCGAGAATTACAAAGAATCTCTTTATTTTACAAAACACAATTACCATTTGAATTAAAACACGAAAATATTTTAGATTTTGAATCCATTCTGGAAATCACCTGTAAAATAGAGGAAAACCAAATTCAATATTTTCTGACAATTCCTATCGATTTTGAGAGCATCTTTGATCTTTATTATTTATTACCTATACCCACACAAATTGAGTCAGAATTTGCAATAATAATACCTAATACAAGATATTTGTTAAAAAATAAAAATACAATAATACCTCTCAACGACATCTGCACTCACGGTAAAATTTTCCAATGTCCAAGCCGTCTACAAAATAACCAAGAACACCTATGCGAAAAGGAAATAATCTTACGAGAAAACTCCAGTAATTGTCAATATATTAAGGCAGACATCCAAGGCAATCACATCGAAATCATACCAGAGATGAACCAGTTTTTAGCAATATTTCCTATGGAGGAAAAATTAACTTTTAAATGCTCTGAAGGAACTCAAATTCAAACACTGACAGGCATCTTTCTGATCGAAAATACACAGTGTACAATCCTTTTCAGAAACCAAGAATTGTTGTTCCAAGATCGAACCTTTGGACAACCAATTTTAATCACCGAGCCAAAATTAAAATTCAAAGAATTAAGCATTTCACCTATGAAAATAACTTTGAAGAATTTAAAATTTGAAAAAAATCCCACAAACAGAATCACACCCATCATGGAAGAAAGAGAAAATTACCACATTCCCAGCATATGGACCATTATATTATATCTTGCAATCATTCTAATAATCATCTACATTACCTATAAGAAAATAACGATAAAAAAGAGAAAAGAAACCAAAAGAAAGGAAGACATAAGAATGTCAAACATACAGGATCCAGACGATTCCAATTCAAAAATTCACCTCCCAGAAGGAGCCTCGATTTAGGGGAAGAGGAGTTATAGAGCGACGCCTATGGATTCATTCGTGCCATGGACTTAAGACTGCTGACATGGTTAAAGCATTGAACTCTAGAGTGCTGACGCTATATTTGCATAATATTGTGAATTGTATAATTGCAATTGTATATGTGTTATTTTAATTAATATTTTATTCAGTTTAGAATCTGATTTTATTGTAATTAGTCGTTTAGCTCTTAATAAATTCTTTTTTAAAAAAGGACTTTTGGCATTCCCAAATTTGAGTTATATATATATATATATATATATATATATATATATATATATATATATATATATATATATATATATATATATAAGCGCACTAAACAAATTAAATACTTTCTGAAAATTTTACTATTTTAGGTAGAAGATCATAATAAACTCATGGAAGCTCCTTTATACTCTTCATTTAGAGCATTTATGATGAGCAAAGTAAAACCTAAAATTGAGGTTAATATTGGAGTAAGTGGAGAGAGAATAGAGATTGACCCTGTGCCACAAAAAGGCTCAAAGTTATTACCTTTCAAAGCTAAAGCTATTAGTCACTCAATTGATAATATCGCTAGCTGTGAAATAACTGAGGACAAAGCTAACAGAACTGGTTTTAGACTTATATATAGGGCTACTATGGTTAGTGGCTCAAGCACGATGGGAGAAGGAACATTTTCTGAAGGTAAGTCTAAAATGAGTCATAATTATCTTATTGAGTCTTGAGGTAGAAAAGAAAAAGAAATTCAGAACTTGGTATTATTAAGAGGATTTTTCAATTTTCGGAAATATGCATGTTGTTCAAAACGAAGCCTATAGCAAAATGAGAATTAAATAAGTTGCTTTCTTTACTTATGAACACATTGGCTATAAACCAATAAATGGAATATAGATTTAATAAATTATCGACGGACCTTTCAGTTTATTTTAAATCTTCATCAATACTCATATCTTATTTCTGTTTCATCTTGCGTTTGCAACCAAGAAATTCTTCTATGTCCCACACTTCTTTATCGATTCTCAATCTATAGATGACTCAAAATTGCGCCAACCATGCTCTTCCCTTTGCAGAATCGGAATTAGTCTCGGAATTAGATGCAGTCTCGGTGATAAGCCTCCTGATTTCTAGATCGTGTCGTCGATCCGTCCTGGCAGCACCCCCCGTACAACTTTCCGATGCATGGGAGGAGGCATATGGAGAGATATTTCTTCCCAGTTTTGGGAAGCATTACCAACCTTGATGTCCCCCAAGTTTCAGGAAATGTCTGTGCTTCAAGCAATATATTTATTTGCTCTAAAAGTCACCCAGGTTCCGCGCGTCCTAGAGCCTTTACTGCTTCGGGTGGTATTTGGTCCAGTTTGGGGGAAGTAAGACTTATTCTACTGACTTCTACAGCTTCTTTCATGACTCGCCCCATGTTTTCCACCGTTGGCGTTTGACCCTTTATCATACCCACTCTCAATTTAATGAGTTCCGCATATGTCTTCCAGTCGTACCCATCGTCGAATCCGACTCTGGACATCCTTCCATTCCGGTATAGTCTGGCAAGACTGAGCAATCTTTTGTTTTTGCAGCTACTCTCTGTTACCTCTTATCACGAATGTGGGTTCAAGACCGGTGTTCAGTACCACCAAATATAAAGTATCTACCCAATCAGATAATATTCTACCTCGAGTATCGGTGATGGGGACCCCCACTCCGCCGGTTTTGCATTGAAATCTCCTAGCACCACGCATTCTCCTCTCATACTCATCACCTCCTCCATGATCTTATCCATCTTCCTCTCATAATCACCCACCGTTATATAAGGAGAGAGATACCAGCAAACCAGCTGCAATTCCTCCTTCCGGACATCCGGATCATATACCCTTCCTTTGCTTTTATTTCATATACTTACAGCTTCTTGTTACAGATTCATACACCGACTCTTCCAGTCGCATTCACAAACCAGCCTGTTCTCTTATCCGCTGTTGGGTTTGGCTCATCGTAACCAGTATCTCTAGAACTTTTCTGTTGCAGCAGCTTCGGCCAGGTGATGGGACAATCTAGCCATTCCCACATTCGTATATCTCTTCTCTCTGGATGTTGTGCACACGCTTTTTCAGAATCTCTTCCGATAGATTGCTACTCTGCCTCTAGGCATGGCGTATTCGAATTAGTCTTTCCTTTTTCTTGTTTCTGCTCTTTTGCCTCTGTGTTTGCCACTCATCATCATAGCTTTCGGTATCTGGGTTACTCACTTTCCCTGCTACTTCTAATCTTATGTTTTCTTTTCCTTGATCTTCTCTATTCTTTTTTCATATTTCTGCCTTTTTTATTTTCCTTTTTGTCTTTCCTTTCTTTTTCCCCCCTCTTTGGCCTTTGCCTTCTAAGGGCTGTCTTCTCTTACCTCTGATCTTTCTACTCTTTTCTCTGGAGTCTCTCTTGGTAGCCATCTTTCTTCATCTTTTTCTCTTTTTCCGTCACTTTTCTTTTTTTTTGTCATTCTTCATTTCTTCCTACGAGTTGGGTCGTATTGATTGGTCCTGTGAAGCAGTGCGCCCTTACCCCACTAAGGCTATTTTCCCTTCCGGTTTGCCATTTCCTTTGGGCATCGCTTGAAGTCCACTATTTCACCCCTGGACTATGAGCCCCGTCGGCACGATATTATTACACCTTGAGGTTGGAGGAGGCAGTAGTAGTTTTTCAGTACACAGCCGCCTTCCCTATATACTGAACCTGGAAGAAAATAAAGTAAAAAAACCGAACCCGAAGAAGAGTTTGACCAAGTGAGGCCGATAGAATAGATTACAAAGTTGTTCTACCCATGACAAGTTGAAGCAAAGTAGGATGTTAAGAATCTAAATCATCAAAAGGGTTAGTGACTTGGGATTTGGTGGATGGCCGGAGATGAGCCTGGGAGACTAGTCCAGGCTCATCTGAGCTCATCCTGCAGGATGGGTCTGATTATATGGGAAGAAATGGAGATTTTTATTGAAGAAATGTGTTTGGGTAATTTGGAAAAAGACGCAGCACTTGTGATTGATTACTGTGCCTTGCAGCGTCGGTGTCCGGCGCTCACGCGGTGCATAGACGCTGGACGTTAATTGGACTGTACTTAGGTTCAGATGTGGGTCGAACCCACCGATCGTGCTATTAGGTCCTTCCACCACTGCGAGGTCATCTCAGACCAGGAAGGTAATCTCATTTTGTCCTTTGCTCTACTATGCTTTGCTGACTATTTTCTCGCTGCCATTCTTGCCAGCTTCTTGGATTTCAACATTCCAAAGTCCTCTTTGGCAGTCCTCGTTTCTTCCTTCTAACTATCTGTCAATCCAGGTGGTGGAGGTGTCGATACGACGACATAAGCACCACAATGTTGTCAATAGACTCTTCAGGAACATCTATTTTGAGTAGTTCTACTTCAGCATATGGACTATAGAAATACTCATAACAAGGCTGGTTTGATTCTGGACTTCTTTCAGGATCTTCGCCAGTGTGGAACATAGTTTGTTCGCACAGAGTCCATACTTTGCATAAGCTAATCGGTTTGCATTGGTTTACCTATAGGATATGCAGCCAAATCACTAAATCTAGTAAATCCGTGACCATGTACTGTTTCATATGGGGGATTTGGTTTATTATCGCATTCTGTACAATGAGCACTACGCTTTTCTGGTAAAACTCCACCAAATGTACCCATTCTTATACCTAGACTGAGTTCATTAACTCAATATTCATGAAAGAAGTGGATTGTATGCAGTAACCTCGAGGTCATATGGAAAAGCGCCAGTCACCATGTATCTACCTGGGTATGCAGGCCTTGACAATCGCCTTGTTGTTCTATGATACGTCTCTTAAATGGACACGAGTCTGTACATTGATCTGTTTTTGAAAACAACGCATCGTCTTTAGGTGATGAGTTTTTATCCATCGCAGTGGCAGGGATCGTTTTTTACATTCCTTCAAACTACTTTTTGTCAGTTTTATCGGAGTTTAGTATACATTTGCTACTTTTTAAACCTTTACCAGCCTTCTTGTATCTGTACAAAGATTTTTTTATCCTTAAATAAAATAGACTAGTCGTTTAGATTCATTTGGAATGGCGTCACTACAAGCTTGACAAAACAGGACATTCCTAATGTAGATGTAGATATCCATTGGGAGACGTTTGAATGAGCGTGTGTGAAGTATTTTGAGGATTTCACGTATAATTTCATTAAATAAACACTATAAACAACAAACTAACTGTACAATAATAACTTAAATATATAATTTAAAAATGTCTTCATCCACAAATGGGGTTGGCCTCGATCTCTTCTTGGCTTCTCTCCCTCCCGGCGTAAACCACCCTCTCTCTCGCTCGCGTTCGGTTGCTCGTGGTGGATCGTGACGCAGGCGCACAATTTGTAGGTTTTAAACTATAATGTGCGCGAGCACGTCCGTACTTAACATATACTCCCCCACCTTGAAACCCCAAAGACCGGGTTTCAATATTAAATAAAAAAGTGTTTTTTAAATAAAGTTTCAAAGATCATATTACTTATAGTCATAAAGAATTTATTGATCTTGGTTTGGTAGAACACAAATTTTCACAACCGGTCGTTTAATGGCACCAGTGTTTGTCTTTATCATAACCGACCGCACAATATTGTCACTTCCGGTATAAGTTTTCAAAATTCTACCTAACTGCCACTTTAAGGGAGGAAGTCCATCATCCTTAACCAGTACCATTCGTCCAGGCTTGATCAGCTGTTGGCAATTCTCCTTCCACTTGAACCGCTGCTGAAGATGGGATATGTATTCTTTGGACCATCGTGTCCAAAAGTGCTGTAATAACTGTTGCACCCTTTGAAATCTTGAAAGACGATTTTCATTCATGTCGATTAAGTTCTGTTGTGGTATAGTCGTCAATGAAGACCCGATTAACAAGTGTGCAGGAGTAAGGGGATTAGGGTCATTTGGGTCATTAGAAAGAGGATAAAGTGGTCTGGAGTTGAGGCAAGCCTCTATTTGATATACAACCGTAGAAAATTCTTCATATGTTAAGATTGCTTTACCTACTACACGTTTCATGTGGTGCTTAACTGATTTAATATTTGACTCCCATAACCCTCCAAAGTGGGGAGCGCGTGGAGTAATGAAGTGCCATTGAATACCGTCGCTTGACAAATCTGTCGTAATGGCATGAGAGTTTTTGTCAAAAAATTGTTTAAGTTCGTTATTTGCTCCCACGAAAGTGCTGTCGTTATCTGAAACGATTTCGGAGCATTTACCGCGTCTGGCAGTGAATCGGCGTAGTGCCGCCAAGAAGCACTCTGTCGTGAGGTCACTGACAACTTCTAAATGTACAGCCTTGCTGGCGAAGCAGATAAAGAGAGCAATATAAGCCTTAGAAGTTTTGTAATTACGACCCTTTCTATCTCGTAAAAGAACGGGACCAGCATAATCGACTCCAGAAACCGTAAAAGGCCGTGAGGGTGTGATTCTCGACTCTGGAAGATTGCCCATAAGATACTGTTCGGGATTATTGTTGAATCTAAAACATCGGACACAATCACGAACAATTTTTCGAATCAAGTTGCGCCCTGAGATTGGCCAGTAATTCTCTCGTAAGGAAGCAAGAAGTGCTTGAGGACCAATATGTAAAAGCTTCAAGTGCTCGTGGCGAGCAATGAGAATCGTGATATGATGTTTTGAAGGTA